ATCGCTATCTTTAGACGTCGTTATGCTAGGTTGCGTGCGGCGCCTTGTAAACTATTTATTTTTAATGAATTGGCGCTCAATAATCTTTTAGATGAAAAGCCTTCAGTCAGCCTTGATCAACAATGACGACAGGTAATTGATACACGCTGCTCAGAATCACGAGTGCAGCAGTGCTTACTCATCATGTCCGACTCACAAATGTCACTCACAGCCTATGTCATTTTGCCTTGTCCTGCGATCATGACCCGTTGACACATCATGTGGGTGGCGTTTGAACGGTGAATAATACTCGCCTGAGAGTCTTTCATGGACTCCGTGTTTTGGCCTGATGATAAGAAACCGAAAAAACGTGTTTTCCAAGTTTTTCATTACTAGTCTAAAATTGGAATGTTTGTAGAACGGAGAAACAGTAAAATCAAAGTTTCGCATAAAAACCACGCTTAGTTTTCTGTTTAATTCAAATTTCTATCATTAAGCATATTAGCAGAAATTAACCATTCGTGTTTCCACGCATAGATATAACGTAGTACGAGATTTCGGAATTAAAAACACAATTAGTATCAGGATTGGCAAGTTGATGTTAAACATTTTGGGCTTCGATGTTGTCTCCCTCTTCACGTCCATACCGTTAGAATTGGCGAAACAGTGCACAGAGGATCTCCTGCAATCCTGTGACACGGATGTTCCCGCTATTGCCTTACTCGAGCTCTTAGACCTGTGTATGGAAACCAATTTTTCGTTCGACCAACAGTACTACCAACAACTGAAGGGAGCCCCAATGGGGTCACCTATCTCTGGCTTCCTTGCCGAGATCACAATGCAGAAACTGGAGGCCACGGCTCTTCCGTTAGTTAATCCTAAATTGTGGTTGCGATACGTGGACGACACATTTGTGATCGTTAAGAAGGATCAACTAGAAACGCTCCACAACACCATTAACTCAACAATGCCGGGGATTAAATTCACACGCGAGAAAGAAGTTGACAAAAAACTCCCATTTTGGATGTTCTTGTGCAGCGGAAGACCGACGGAACGTTGCGCACATCGGTGTACCGCAAACAAACCTATGCGGAAGTCATTCTACACTACGAGAGCAACCACCCCATTTCCCACAAACGGAGCACGGTCAACTGTCTGCTTAACCGGGCAAAAACACACTGCTCGGACGAAGAAGGCTACCAGGCCGAACTAAGTTACTTGTGTGAATTATTTTCCCGAAATGGGTATCCCAAGTATTTTGTGCGCGGATGCATGAGACAGAAAAAGTCAAAAGAAACGGAACAAAGAACTTCCAGCCAGGCACCCAAGTCAAATACATGGCGAACTCTCCCTTATATCAAAAACGTGTCTGAACTCGTGGAAAGGCGCCTAAAGAAGCACCAAATTCTGGTGGCACACAGACCAACGACTACATTACGTACTCAGATAGTACACCCTAAGGATAGGGTCGGCTATTTGGATAGAAAGGAACTAGTCTACAAGATCCCGTGTGGGGCCTGTGATGCAGTTTATTGTGGTCAAACAGGAAAATCCGCCTCTACACGCATTCACGAACACCAACTTGCAGTAAAGAGGCGAGACCACCTGTCTCAAGTAGCCATGCATACCCTGGACACGGGGCATACGTTTGCTTGGGACAGAACACGGATTGTCGGCGCCTGCCCCTTCAAGAAAGGCCGAGAGTTCCTTGAGGCCATGCACTCGGATGAATCGTGCATCAACCGTCACATCGAGGTGGACGCCGCGTACAAAAGTCTAAAGGAGAAATGGAAGAGACGAGAGCGAATCGGCACAGAATGACGCAAATAGCGGCCGCTCACGGGCACAAAAGCGAACGATTATCGATTTTTTCCACGTGCGCTGCCAGATGTTAACTGTTGTCGGCACATTTACTCTCAGTCTGCGTCTGACGACGACCTGGGGAACCGGCGTCGAAAATTTACGCAATAAAGTTCATTTTCCCAAAGAACGCCTTTAACTTCAACTTATATTTCTTGGGATGCCTGCGTTTCAATACATTTTACTATGTGTTAGGCAAGTTCACTTACCAACTCCTGTCTTTTCAGTATATACAAATTTAGGCAGCGCAGGTCATTATTGTGTATGCTTGTTTGATTAACATAATCTGTTTGGTATTAAATTATTAAAACCGTTCTTAAGAACACGGTAAAAGTATATGTAAATGTATAAATACTGCTAATCTTTGACGGTATATGAAACCATCGTTGCAGCTGTAGAAATAACTGTCGTATTTTTACATAATTAAAGATGATTCACCTTATAAAATATAAAGTTAAGTTTCAAAATATATCTGTAATGCAACCTGCTATTTAACAGAATTATAGCGGATTCTGAAAATTTGGCATTTGAACGAGGGCCTACGTGATCACCTGCAGCACCGTATTAGGTAACTAACGATCACTTAGGCAGCATGCTGTTTTCCAGTTACTTCTGTAGTTATATCGTCCATTGCTTATCGGAATTGAAAATTTCATTTCAAAAATAGCATAGGGTCTGAGGGAATTCTTTTTATTCCTTAACAAATTTTGACTCTGATTTGACATTATAGGTTTATTTAAATTTTTACGATGGCAGACTGTAAATTTCGCGCATTAGATGAATTTTACATTTTGGAGCAATGGCAAAGGCCTCGTGTATGGCTCGTAAATAATGTTCTTTACGAGAACCATGCTGTGCTTGTTGTTAAATTATTAGTCAATGGAGATGCATCGTTATCTTCAAAAGGGTGATGGACAATGTTTAAAAAATTCGCTTTATTGTCTTTTATGGAAACTCAACTGTTCGATTCGCTGTTGTATTTTAATATCTTATCATTTCACCCAATTATTACTCAAAAACACTTTATTTGCGTGTTTCCTATAACCCATGTGGTCATCGGCAATCGAAAAAACATTCTCACAACTTTCATACTTTGTTATATTGCGGCGTCTGCCTGTAATAATCCGAATAAACGGTAATTTCCCGATGTTACGAAAATATTCTTAGATTATGCTGCACGATAGTTACCTAAAAACAATTCTACACATATATTTTATTTAAAAAACGTATCTCAAAATTTTCATTAAAATTTCGTCAGACAACACGTGTGCGACAGCAATCACAGTTCAAGCATTTGTCATGGGATTTGAAAGGGTTCAAAAATAGTGAGTGTGTGCTACCTGATAGCAGATCTAATGCACTGACGGTTTAAACATACATAAACAAAGGTGAAATGCATTAGTCGCTGAACTGAAAGGAACATGTAAACCTGTTAAACTTTCCAATGTGAACCTAAGTATAATCGGATGACTTTGTAAATACATGACAGTCTGAAAAATTTCGCGCCCTTCCGGATCTCTCAGTTATGTTAATTTAGCTAGTTTGTTGACCGCTTTATGGGTAATGGGTAGCAAAAAGTTCCTATAAGACTGAAATCAATTTCGCCGTAATAATCGAATATGATTCCAGACATTAAATTAAAATCTTTATATCTATTTTGTTTAATCGCTGAAAGCTCTTTTTACCTTACATTGAAGCAAAAAAATAATATGTGGTTCTTATGTTAAAGCATGCAAAAACTTTAATAACATTAGTTTTCGCATTTCACATGACTCATATAAACATTTAAATCGATAAAAATGTTAGTGTTGGACCAAGGCATTAGTACGGAATTTTCATTTAGTTATCGATCGAAATAACTAAGCAAATACAAATGAGATATCATTTATAGACAGTGTTTCTGCAAAATATCTTTCAAACCAACAGTACTAAAAACAATGAATAACTCACCTTCTTTCGAGATTGCAGCTGGCAGATGAAATGTAGTTTAAATAAGGAAAACCTGTTTTAGTTGTTACCAACTTTATACGGGCTTTCTGATTTAAGTTGTCTAGGCAAATAGGAAATTTTAATTTGCATCAATAAAACTCTCCGTCATTAAAAAAAACATTTTGTTAAGATTTAACACTAAAACACAACACAGTGACACAGAAAATATAGAAGTATAGTATGTAAGCTTACTCCAGGTTGCAAATAAAGTGAATGGTTACTCACTATTTTGGAGGTACAAAACGCAAATTTGTTTGGTTTCGGTCTTAACAATTTGGATTCGTTCCAACAAATTTATTCAAAGTATAGTCAAACACCAGACGAAGTGTTTATATTTGAGCTGTATCTTTTGCTGCACTTTCAACTAATGAGGTTTCATGAGTAATAAACGTTTATTACAGTTCTGCAGCCTGTCGTGATGCGTGATAGCGGTATGAAAAGCCTCGAACGCAATTTTTGAAAATACCACTTTATTTTTAGTTTGCAATTTCGTCACACTCTCACGTTTGCTGACTCAAGGGCATTCTTATTTTTGTTGCTGATTAACGGCCGCGCCATAATTTTCAGACTTATGCAAGTGATGCGGACAAATTTAAGTTTGGGTTT